TCTTCGTCTTACTTAAAACTACTTATTTTTATCAATAAAATATGTTACAGATAGGTGTTAATGGAACTGGGTTATTTTAATCAAAATTTCTTCTGCATGGTTTCATTGCCTATTAGGTAGATAATCTAGTGATGGCTAAACATGTTAGACAAATCTCATGTCTAAATGCCTGAAGATGCTCTTTGATCATTCTAATGTGATACTATGAAATGCTATTTGACTTGGCTTGGGTGTCTGTATTAAATGCAACAAAATTTTGACAAGTTTTGCTCAGGTACTGTGAAATTATCATTGACATTTTCACTACTTTTTAATAGGTACTTTTGATAGCAGGTTCCAAGTTACTGACCTTATGTCCTTTAGAGGTGAATTCACCAACAGACAACCAACCATTCCTACTAGAGTAAAATTATCTAGTCAGAATTTAGGTCTGCTTGATGCTTCATGAATTATATCAAATTTAGGAGTGTATGAAAAAACTGCAGAATTCTATTTTGCTGTTAAACAGTGATAATGGCAAAACATTTTAAAGAGTGAAAATGATTAGTTAGGCTGAATAGAATACAGAATCTAACACATAGACGTTCAAAACATATAGTCATAAAACATGAACACTGACATGAAATTTTGTAATCTAACTTGTCAAATCCAAAGCTCATGACCTTGATACCTCTCAACGAGTCCTGGCAGTGTCAGAGAATGGGAATACTATTTCTTCAGCTCAAGCAATCAGCAAGTTATCCATGGTATCTTCCTTCATATTCTATCCAGCACCCATTCTTTTCAATTTTAGTCCCTAAATGTTTTGGGGATCAATCTATTCATTTCCTATCCTAACAGTGTGATCTGAATCTAAACTTCCATCATTTCACCCATGGGATATTTCTATGACATCCAATGTGGCTAACTCTCTCCAGTCTTCCTATATAGAATATCGACAATCAGCTCTGTGAAACATAAATATGATAATATTCTCCTGTCAACACACTCAGCCACGCATGAGTGTGTGCACATGCGCACACCACACACACACACACACACATACACAAAGGTCTAGGCCCTTCCAACCCAGCATGTGTTTCAGTATCCTTATCCCAGCATAGTATGTCCAGCTGCACAGGTTTTTCTCAGTCCTTTCTCTCTGTCATCTTCCTTGTTGCCACAGAGTCTTTCTCTGTGTTCTTCCCTCAGCTGAGAAGCTTCTCACTTAAAGAATGTCTACTCATCTTAAATCTTAGCTCAAAAGTCTCTTCCTTCCAGAAAGTGTCTTCTGACTCCTTGACTCAATGAGTGTCCATCATCAAGTCTAATGCTCATATCTCCTTTCTTCCTAGCACTCATTACAGGTATAACTTTATACCTGGTTATGTCCTTGTTTAGTACAGGTTTTACCTTCTACACTATATACTATCTGTGGGCAAGGATCCTTTTTGCATGCCTGATATTCCATACCCAGTTCCTGACTATCAGTGAATATTTGTCACATGAATGACAGTGGCTCTTTATCCAGGGCTGTTTCTTCTCTCAACAGTGTTACATTTCAGTCAGGCGTGGGGTAATCCCAGCACTCTGTAAGGCTGAGACACAAGGATATCGAGTTTGTGCCCAGCCTTGGCAAATCAATGACATAACAAGACCCTGTATCAAAGTAAAAAAAATTGTTTAAATTAAAAAATGAGCTAAGGATATAAATTAGTGTGAAAGCCTTGGATTCATTCCTGAGAATTGAAAAAAAGAGAAATAAACGTATTTTTAAAAATTTTGGTTCTTATTTTTTCCCCATTCCCTGCACTCCCTTCACCCCCTCCACCTTTCCCTATTTACAAAGATTCTGATAACATTTTTTCCTTTTCTCATTATTTTTCCATTCCTTTCTTACGTTTCCCCCTCCCCTCCCACTTCCCCTACCCCTTTGG